CAGCCTCCGATGAAGCACCGTTGTGTTTTCCCGCCTGTTATTTAAACTCTGGTGTCCATTGAGCTGGATTACCTCACTTCCGGTTTTCCTTCACAGCAGAGTGTATATGGGGTCAAGCTCTATGTGTTTGTTGATGGCTTTCTTCGTGGAGTACCAGACTTCTAGGAATTCCCGTGCTTGTCTCTGCTTGGCTTGTCCCAGGATCTTGGTGTTGTCCCAGATGAATTGGTGGTTCTCCTTATCCATGTGGATAGAGATGAGTGAGTATTGGTCGTGTCTTTTTGTAGCCAATTGATGTTCGTGTACCTTTGTTGTTAATTTCCATCCTGTTTGTCCAATGTAGTGTTTGTCAAAGTCTCTGCAGGGAATCTTGTATATGACATTGATACCACACATTAGGCTACTTAGTAAGAAAAGAGCTTATTGTGTTGGATATAGTATATCAGCCTGGACGGAGGATTTCCTAACTGATAGAAGACAGAGTTAGGATATGGGGGATATGTTCAGAATGGCAACCTTCAACAAATGTTTTGCCACAGGGTCAGTGCTGCAGTCATAGTTATTTACAATATATAATAGTGGTTTAGATGACAGAAGTGAATGTACTACAGTCGAGTTTGCAGATGACAAAAGAATGGGAGGGTAAGGCAAGTAATGAGGATAACAATCCGTAAGGGATACAGACAGGTTATGCATGTGGGAAAAAACTTGGCAGATGGAATATAAAGTGGAAAAATGTGAGGTTATACACTTTGGTAGGAAGAATAAAGGAGCTAAATATTATTTAGAGACTGCAGAGGGCTACAGCAAAGCGAGATTTGGAAGTCCTTGTACATAGATCACAAAAAGCTAGCATACAAATTAAGCGTGTGAAAGGGCAGACAAATAGAATGGTGGGCTTTACTTCAAAGTTAGCAAAGAATAAAAATGGGAAATCTTTCTAAAATTATATATGAGATTGTTTAGACCATACCAAGAATACTGTGAACAGTTTTGATCACCTGTTAAGGTAAGATATACTGGCACTGGATGCAATCCAAAGAATGTTCACTAGGTTGATCCCAGGTATGAAGGAGAAGTTGAGTAGGTTGGACCTGTGCTCATTAAAATTTAGAAGAATAAGAGGCGACCTCAAAATGTTCAAGATTCTTAGGTGGCTTAACAGGGTAGATGGGGATAGGTTGTTTCCTGTTATTGGAGAGTCTGGGACAGTGGGCATAATTTGAGTAAGGGGTAGCCAATTTAAGACAGAGATGAGGAATTTCTTCTCTGAGGTAGTCTATTACAGATTGGGATGTCTGGTTGGTGCAGATAAGTTGGACCAAAAGGTTTGTTTTCATGCTATATGTCTCTATTTGTCTGGGCATTAATATTTGTAGGAAGAGTTGCAAAAGTAATTAAATAGTGCCTGTTGCTTTGAAATATTTCAGATTTTCGTTGCTAAATATTGAATTATGAGGAGATGATAACATTAGATTCAGATATACTGCTTATTTTGACAGTTGCAGGGAATCAAAAGAAATAGTGCTTATCAATCAGACATACACATCAACTCACACATGAAGTACAATTAGCATGAATTAACAGCTGTCTCTTGACATTCAGTGGTGTTACCTTCACTGAATGCCCCACTACCAATATCCTGGGGCTTATCATTGACCAGAAACTCATTGTACTCCCCATATAAATACAATGGCTACATGTGTAGATCAGAGGCTAGGAATACTGTGGAGAGTAACTCACCTCCTGACTCCCCACTGCCTGTCCACAAGTTAGGAATGCAATGGGATATTCCCCACTTGCCTGGATGAGTGCAGCTCCAATAACACTCAAGAAGCTTGACATCATCCAAGACAAAGCAGCCTACTTAATTGGCACCACATCCACAAGCATCCACTCTTCCACCACCAACATTCAGTAGTGGCAATGTACCCTATGTACAAGATAAACTGCAGAAATTCACCAAAGATCTTCAATCAGCATCTTCCTAACCCACGACCACGTTCATCTAGAACGATAAGGGCAGCAGATACATGGGAACACCCACCACCAGCAAGTTCCCTTCTAAGCGACTGACCATCCTGACTTGGAAATATATTGCTGTTCCTTCGGTGTTGCTGGATTAAACTCCTGGAATTCCATCCCTAATGGCATTGTGGGTCTACTTACACCAAATGGACTGCAGCGGTTCATCTGCTCAAGGTCACCTTCTCAAGGGCAACTAGGGCTGGGCAATAAATGTTGGCCAGTCAGCAATGTCCACGTTCCACAAATGATGAGAAATAAGGATTTAGTGCTGGATTTTCACTGTATATTTGTGTGGAGAGGACAAATTGAAAACAAAAATGCACTCTCACCTGCCATTCTCCTTTCATCTCTGTAATCAGCATCTTCAAAGCTAACAATCTTCAACGCAAGTTTATCCATCTGCTGATCTTGTATATGTCAGCTCCCTTGCACAAAATCCAGTGTTACACTTTATAGGTTTCTGATGAAAGGTCATCAAACTAAAATAATTATATCTTGGTCTTGGTGATATCATACCTGGTGTTCATAGACTCATAGAGTCATACAGCATGGAAGCAGACCCTTCGGTCCAACCAGTCCATGCCGAACATAATCCCAAACTAAACTATCCCACCTGCCTGCACTTGGCCTATATCCCTCCAAACATTTTGTATTCATGTAATTATCCAAATCTCTTTTAAACATTGTAACTGGACCCATATCCATCACTTCCTCTTGAAGTTCATTCCACACATGAGACACTCTCTGTGTAAAATAAATTGCCCCTCATGTTTTTTTTTTAATCTTTCTCCTCTGATCTTAAAAATATGTCCCTGAGTCTTGAAATCCCCCATTCTAGGGAAAAGATACCTGCCATTCACCTTGTCTACACCCAGTTTTGGTCTCCTCAATAAGATAGAAGTTTTCAATCAGCCTGTAGAGACATGTAATGACACGTACCTGGAGCAGATGGGACTTAAACACAGACATTCTGCCCCAGAGGGAGGGGCACTACCACTGTGCCACAAGAGTGCTCCTTTTCAGTGTTACACTTTACAAACGTACCTACATGCATCTGTCCTAAGGGTTTAGCTCAGTTGGCTGGACAGCTGGTTTGCAATGCAGTGTGCTGCTAACAGCAGCATATGGCTCCGTGGTTAGCTTTGCTGCCTCGTGGCCCCAGTGACCTGGGCTTGATTCCACCATCCACCAACTGTCTGTGTGGAGTTCGTACATTCTCTCTGTGTCTGTGTGAGTTTTCTCCTACAGTCCAAAGATGTGCGGGTTAGGTGGATTGTCTATGCTAAATTGCCTGTAGTGTCCAGGGATGTGCAAGTTAGGTTTTATCTTTCTTTATTCATTCATGGGATGAGAGTGTCACTGACTAGGCATTTATTGCCCATCACTAATTGCCCAGAGGGCAGTTCAGAGTCAACCACATTGCTGTGGGTCTGGAGTCACATGTAGACCAGACAAAGTAAGAAAGGCAGTTTCCTTCCCTAAAGGACCTTAGTGAACCAGGTGGGTTTTTCCCAACAATTGACAATGGATTCACCGTCATCATTAGATTCTTAATTCCAGATATTTATTGAATTCAAATTCCACCATCTGCCATGGTAGGATTTGAATACAGGTCCCCAGAACGTTATCTGGGTCTCTGGATTAACAGACCAGCGATAATACCACTAGGCCATCGCCTCCCCTGGTAGATTAGCCATGGGAAATGTAGGGTTACAAGGATAGTGTAGGGGCGGGTCTGGGTGGGCTGCTCTTCAGGGGGTCAACGTGGACTCAACGGGCTCAATGGTCTACTTTCATATTGTAGGGATTCTATTAACAGTGTGGGTTCAATTCCCACACCAGCTGAGGTTACCACAAAGGATTGTCCTTCTCAAGTCACTGGCTAGGTATTTATTGCCCATCCCTAATTGCCCAGAGAGCAGTTATGAGTCAACCACATTGCTGTGGGTCTAGAGTCACATGTAGACGAGACAAGGTAAGGATGGCAGTTTCCTTGCCTGAGCTGTAGTGACCCTCAGGTTAAACTTGCCACCAGTCATCTCCCTCTCTAATGAGAGAGTAGTTTGGTTGGACAATGGTGATTTGATCTTTACATATCTGTATTAACTCAGTTGTTTTTAATTGGTGCAAGGATTGAACAATGGGGTTCCATGATATCAATTTTCAAGTGCTTTGTGTGTTTCTGAATCTTCAGGTAAAGCAGCATACAGACATTATAGCCAACAGAAGTTAAACATGAAATCTCTTAAAAGAAATCTCAGAACAGGTGCTGAGCCCCCTGGTGGTTCAGTGGATAAATTCACTGCTGCATCTGAACATATCAAAGCACTAGAAATGTATATGCAAGTATAACCCTGTGTAAGTAAGCACGCCTTGGGGTTGTTTGTTGGATAGAGTCAAACTCCAATGTTTATTTGTTTTATTCATATGTTACTGAACAGAGCTGCACTGTTTTGTGACTATGTATGTATTTTTTATGAATAAAGTGTACTTTTGAAATAAAAACAAAACCAAAGCACTGGAAGATCTTTGGTTAAATACCTGGTTTGACATTGGGAGAAATTCTGCATTAATTGATCTCAGTTAAGGAAGGGACATGCTTGCTGATTTCATTCAGGGAAGTGATAGCACTTCTGTTAACCTCGGAGCCAGAATCCTGCTGCAAACTTTGTATCTGTGTGTGTGTGTGTGTGTGTGTGTGTGTGTGTGTGTATGTGTGTGTGTGTGTGAGTGTGAGAGAGAATGTGTGTGAGAGAGTGTGTGTGAGTGTGTGTGGTTTGTGTGTGTGTGTGAGTGTGTGTGTGTGTGTGAGTGTGTGTGTGTATGTGTGTGTGTGTGAGTGTGTATGTGTGTGTGTGTGTGTGTGTGTATGTGAGCGTGTGTGTGTGTTTGTCATTATCAAAATCTATGGTCACACAGAAACACATTGCATGCTAAATCCACCATTTACAAGAATGATCATTCAGAATAAAAACAATTAAATAAAAGATTTATTTGGGACAAGAAAATTACCCTGTAAATGTTTAATTTTGCCCATGTTCCCTGAATTAAAAATTAAAATGGGCACACAGCATTGTTTAAAACTACCTGCTGCTGGCACTGCACAATAATGTGTTCTGGAAAGCAGTAAATCATATAATGATGTGCTAAGAGGTTTCAAACAATGCAGTACAGAAAAGGCTTGTTTTCATGACAATGCTTGAATAAAAGTTGTATCATCCTTAATCCTCTGAGCTGTACCTTATAGAACATTTTCATTTCATTTCCACAACATTCCCTTTTTTTTCATCTACAGCATTTTATTTCTTAACACGAAATGTATCTGAAAGACCACAGACTCAGGAGATCTGAAACCTTTTTTTTTGGTCACGTCCAGTTTTAGACAAATTTGATTTTTATCTTCATCCTGTGGTGCTTGTTTGGTCCCAGGGCAGCTGGAAGGCAAGTTCCGTGTGCAGAGATATCAAGCTCTCTTCTTTAACAGCTCTTCTGTGGTAAACACTCTGCTGTACAGAACCAGGTGATCCATGGTCAGGCACTTTCCTTTTTCCACTTCATTAACATTTGGTACGGGGTTTTGTTTCGAGTCGATTCATAACTGTGGAGTATGGGGTCAAAGGGCCAAATGAGAGGACCAAAGTAGACAAACAGAAAAGACCAAAATGACTGACATTCTTCATTAACCATGACTTATCTTGTAACATATTACATTTACTGATATGATTATCTGCATTTCTTGTTCAATAGAAAAAGCCAAAAGTGAGCCTTTCGATAAAAGCCCCTTTTCATTACCCTTAATACGATGTGATTAATTAATGCCCTTGGTTTGTGCTTGGCTTTTGCTTTAGTTAAACTTACATGGGATTTTTCCTGATTTTTTAAATCCAGTATGAATTATATATTCTTGTAATCATGTTTGCATTCAACATTTTCCGTTTATTTTCTTGTGTTTGTGATGTGGCTGTTTTGAAGCCTAAGTTCACTTTCAATTCTTTTGCTGAATATGCCTACTTTTTCTTATTCATTTGCAGGATGTAGGTGTCGGTGGCTGGCCAACATTTGTTGCCTGTCCCTAGTTGCCCTTGAGAAAGTGGTGGTGAGCTGCCTTCTTGAACCGCTGTAGTTCACCTGCTGTGGGTTGACCCACAATGCCACTGGGGGGGAATTCGATGATTTTGACCCAGTGACAGTGAAGGAATGGCAAAATATTTCCAAGTCAGGATGGTGAGTGGCCTGGAGGGAACTTGCAGTTGGTGGTGTTCCCTTGTATTTGCTGCCCTTGTCCTTCTAGATGGAAGTGGTCATGGGTTTGGAAGGAGCTGTCTTGAGGATCTTTGGTGAATTTGTGCAGTGCATCTTGTAGATAGTACACACTGCTGTTACTAAGCATCAGTCATGGAGGGAGTGGATGATTGTGGATGTGGTGTTAATCAAGTGGGCTACTATGTCCTGGATGGTGTCAAGCTTCTTGACTATTGTTGGAGCTGCACCCATCCAGGCAATGAATTCTCTATCATTGTACAGTAGCAATTTATTTTTATTAAAATAGGCACAAAATTAAGAAATAGCCATTATTTCAACATATTGTGCTTTAAGTGTCCACTTTCAAAGCTCCTTAATGCACATTACGATGCAAAAAACCTCAAGAATTTTACCTGGCACAGGATACTGGTGAGGCATTCGTGTTTTGCTTGTCAGAGTAAACTTCAGCTTTATATTTCAGTTCTTTGTTCTGTTTAACAATAAAGTAAGTCATTTGCTTGTATTTCTATCTTCTAGTACTAGATTAAAATTGTCTCAATGCCGATGAATTTCTTTTCTTACATTTCATCAGAATGAACATGTTGTAAGTAAAGTTGTGATTTCCTTTTGCAGAGTACTAAGCCAAACTGAATATGCTGTGCAGCACTTCAGATCGTCATTCAACCCAAACCCATCCCTGCTCCAAACCTTTAGCTATGAGAAAGGTTTAGCCAAGTTGAGCTTGAATTCTTGTCATTTGAAAAGATGAGACTTCAAAATAACTTCAAATAAGGTTTCAAAATTTTAAAGGAAATTGACATCAATGTTGAAAATTGTTCATGATGAAAGGTTGAAATTTATGTTAAAAATTAGAAACCATCAAATAAAAAAGTCAGGTGAAAGTTTTAAGCCAAAAAGTAATAGAAAATGAAATAAATTACCAGGGCAAGGACCTGCTGGGTTTTTCTAGCTAATATACTCCCACTAACACCATGGGCTCTTACAAAATAGCTTAATATGTGGCATGTTATCAAACACCTTCTGAAAATTCACTCCTTCCCCTTATCTGCCCTGCTTGTTACTTCCTCAAAGAATACTAGCATGACACGCGTTTGGCTCGGTCTGAGCATTGAGAACAGAAGTTGGGATGTCAAGTTACAGTGGTACAAGACACTGGTAAGCCCACAATTGGAGTACTGTGTAGATTTCTGGTTGCCCTGCAATAAGAAGGATGCTATTAAACTTGAAACAGTGCAAAAAAGATTTACAAGGATGTTACTGAGATTGGAAGTTTTAAGTTATAAGGAGAGGTTGGATAGGCCGGGATTTTTTTTTCTCTGGCGCATAGCAGGCTGAGGAGTACCTTATAGAGGTTTATAAAATCACAAGGGACATAGTTAAAGTGAATAGCAAAGGTCTTTTCCCAAGGGTACGGGAGTCCAAAACTAGCGGGCATAGATTTAAGATGAGAGGGGAAAGATTTAAAAGAGACCTGAGGGGCAACTTTGTCGCACAGTGAGTGATCGTATATGGAACGAGCTGTCAGAGGAAGTGGTAGAGGCAGGTACAATTACAACATTTAAAAAACATTTGGACACGTACATGGAGAGGAAAGGTTTAGAAGGCTAAAGGCCTACTTCCTTGCTGTATACCTCTATGCCTCTATGACAGCTACCTGCATGGGCAGCAGAAGTTGGCACAAGACTGAGAAACAAAGGTTATTGACTTAAACAGCTATGCATTCATAATGTCAAACACGTTGAAAATGCTATCCATTTCACAGAATTATAAAGTTATTATTATGGTATAGAAGGAAGCCATCATGACTGCACCTACTCTGTTATCTAGTGCCATTCTCCTGCTTTTTACTGAAATATATGAAAGGCCATATATGAAAGATTTGAATACCTCGCTAACTGGAGAGTTCCCTTCACAGCTTTCTTGAATACTCAGATGAAATTGACAGTTCCAGTGATTTTATCCAATTTTTAAACACATTCAAATCTACTTTTAATAATGCTTAATGATGCCTGACATCTCCTAAATGGTACTTGACCTCTTCCAAAGATGTCCTGGAGCTATATTCAAAAGTACTCTGTCTCTTTGAAGAATTTCAATAATTTTAAACCTTCCCTTATCAGTGCACAAGTCATTCTTTGGAAATTCCACTGGCAGAATCAGAGCTGACTGAAGGCAGCTACAGGGTGGAATTTTGTATTTTTTTAATAGTCACTGGCTGAGATATTAGCACAATCTGGTGAAGACATGACACAGGATGACTTGCATGCCAAACAGCAGAAGCTGTCCATGCAATAGATAGGACTAAACAATCTCACAGCCAATCTTCAATCTTGTTACACCCGGACATGTTGACAGATAATTAAACATCCCCCTGAAGGAGGAGGTTCCACAAATATCACCATCTTCAATGATGGATGACAAGCACTTCAGTGCAAAACACAAGACTGAAGCGTTTGCATCCTCATTCAGACAGAAGTTCTGAGAGGATGATCCATCTTGGCCTCCTCCAGAGTTGTCTAGCATCACAAGTCCTGGTCTTCACCTAATTCGATTCACTCCATGCAATATCAAGAAATGGTTGAAAAGGCTATGGACCTTAACTATATTCTGGACATTGTGTTGAAAACTGGTACTGCAAGAACTAGCCACTCCCCTAGCCAAGCTGTTCCAATACATTTAAAACAAGGACATTTATCTAATTATTGGAAATTTGTCCAAGTATACCCTGTCCACAAATCAGGACAAATCCAATCTGGCAAACTACTGCTCCACCAGTCAACTGTTTAGAATCGTAGAATCCCTACAGTACCAAAAAAGGCCATTCAGCCCATTGCATCTGCTTTCATCCTCCCCAAAGAGCATCCACCCATGCTATCCCCATAACCTGCATTTCCCATGGCTAACCCACCATGCCTGCATATCCCTGGAAACTACAGGGCAATTTTGCACAGCCAATCCACTTAACCTGCACATCTTTGGAATCATAGAATCATAGAATCCCTACAGTGTGGAAACAGGCCATTCAGGCACCCAGAGGATACCCACGCAAACATGGGGAAAATGTGCAAACTCCACATAGACAGTCACCTGAGGGTGGAATTGAATGCAGGTCCCTGGTGCTGTGAGACAGCAGTGCTAACCACTGAGCCACCGTGCCACCCCATTGATCATCAGCAAAGTGTGGGAGGAGTCATTGACAGTGCTAATAATTGTCACTTGATCAGCAATAATCTGCTCACTGATGCTCAGTTTTGGATCTGTCAGAGCCATTCAGCTCCTGACTGTATTACAGCCTTGGTCGAAATACAGACAAAACAGTTGAAATCCAGGGGTAGAGGGACAGTATGGTCAAGTATGGCATCAAGGAGCGTTACAAAACTGAAGTCTCAGGGAAAACTCTCCACTGGTTTCAGTCATAGCACAAAGAAATTGCTTGTAGTTGTTGGAGGTTAATCAACTGAACCCCACAACATCACTGCAGGAATTCCTCGGGGTGGTTTTTGAAATACAAGGGAGTCAAGGGTAATGGACCACGAACAGGAAACCAGATTTATCTGATCTTATGAAATGGTGGAGCAGGCCCAAAGGGCAAAATGGCCCATTCCTGCTCTTAATTAAAAAGTACCTAGTGCTATAGACACAACCATCTTTTGTCATTCAAAAATGACCTTCCCTCCATCATAACATGGAAGTGTGCGTGTGCACTGATTATTGCACAGTGCTCAGCACGATCCATGACTCCTCAGATACTGAAGCAGTCCATGTCCAAACGCTGCAAGACCTGGACATTACCCTGGGGCTGTTAAGTGGGAAGTAACATTCATGCCACGTAGGTGCCAGGCCATGTCTATCTCCAGTAATTCAGAATCAAATTGTCCAATGGCATTACCATCACTGAATCTCACACTACCACTGGCCTGGGGTTTAATATAGACGAGTAACTATGAGGCTAGGTTTTTGATGTGGGGTTAGGCATGAGTGTTTAATGCACTCTGCTGTCTGTGTACTTAATGTAGTGTCCTTGTTCTTTTATGTATTTATTTATCTCTGGCACCACGAGTATTTAACTTTTTTTTCTTTCTTTTCAGTGGAATATATATTTTTTGCACTCTGTTAAGCAACATTTGAAATGCTTCACATTGCTGTTACACAGTGCTAACTGCTATACTTTTTGTTCATTTGAGTTCTATCTCACGCAATATAAACCTGACAGTGCTGGCTTTACTTAGGAACATAAGAATTGTGAGATGAAAATTAACTCAGTCAATTCATATTCTACTGTCCTGATAGTTGCACGAAACAATTAATAATCATTTCAATCAACATTTTCACTCTATGTGCTTATAATTTACAAATAAACACCTCTGCTTCAAGTATGCCCACTTGTTCCCTCAGAGAGAGTATAATTTGATCCTGTTTTGTCAACTTCATTTTCAAATTTTCAATCTGCGAAGAGAATAAAAAAATGTATTACATAAAATGCAGCAGAAGGTGTTGCAGATTTCTCCTTCACGGATGAGGAAGTCCCTTATAGTTCACAGCTCTTACACGTGCATGAAATTTAAAAAATTGTAATACATCATATCCTGTGGGATAACAAACAGCCGCTTTTAACACAGTAGCATTGGGAGATGAGTGTAAGCCATTCAATCCACCATTCAATTAGGCCATGGTTGGTTTTAACCTCAACTGTATTCATCTCCTTTTCCTTCATACCCTTACCAAACAAATATGTATGTGTGCATCTTTCTGACTATTCATTCATCCATGAGTATCTAAAACATTCTAAATGTAGATAAAGAATGTTGATATCTGGAGCCAAAACAGAAAAATGCTTGAAAGAATGAGCCTCAGTGTTGAGTTAATGTTTAGTTGTGGACCCCAGACTGAGATTAATGTAGTTTTCGAATTTGATATTTAGATATGAGCTACAGTATCTAGACTACAAATAATTTAATCCAATTTTCTGGTTTTGCCATCCAATTGGATAAGTGGCTCATAGACTTCCTCATGAGAAGTGCAACCATGCTATTTTCATTTACTCTAGTACATGAGCACTCTTAGAGTAGCATTACCATCAGAAATAGGATTGTGCAAAACAATAATTTGTTATGAACAATAATAAGATATTTTACCCTAGTTTATCATCTTTCTTAGTCTCCTTCCTCCAAGTTGTTGCTAACTCTTTCTGGATTCCATGAATGGTTGTCAACAGCTACATTTCCTTTTCTCTTGTTCCAACTTCTTCTGTACTAAGCTTAGACACTGAGTGTTGGTGGATTGTGTGGTCATGTCTCAACTGTCATCCAAACTGAGGCCAGAGAACTCAACACAGACCATGGAATGAACCTGGCACTTAACTCTGTATGACACAATACTCCATTGGCTGACATATTTACCCACAAAAAACACCCAGACAGCTAGATAGCAGAAGTAGTTTGATTGTTATTGAAGTGATGAATATTTTCCTACATTATGGAATATACATTAATGTCTTACATAAGTGTTATATTCTGCTTCTTACCGTATTTATTACACTGTATAGGTTTCGATGTTGTTGGGTGACAACACTGTCTAGATGAAATATCTTTTCGTGTGTTGTGGAAACCTCCAGCTGAAGATCCTGAAACCTGTTAACAAATACTTTTTGGTTTATTTGATTAATGAAAACATTGTAAAAGCTTTCTTCCATTGCATGTCCTTTCACCAATGGAGTTACTGAGAAAAACAAGTGAAGACAATGTGACAGTGATAAATGCTATTTTTAGCAAAATGATTAACATGTGTCCTTAACATCAATTATTCAATCGTCAGCAGGATGGGAAGCCCATCCATTGCCTTCCCCCCAATGACATTAGAGTCAGAATGTAAACATGGTGTGTCCACCCCTTGACCCACTCATCTGATTGAATGGTTTTCTACCACCAAATTCAACAAATTGAGGGGAGGGAGTGGTCACAAGATTCCACTCAGAGACAAAGACATCGAACAGGAACAGTAAGAGAGTGGATCAGAACAGCAGTCATTGTGTTCTGCAGAGAGAAAAGACTGTTTTCTCTATTAGCTACTGGATCAAATGCTGAGAACCGTTTGTCCATTGGTTGAAGAGTGGGAACCTGTAGCAATTTATATAGACTGGAAAACCCACCTTGGTGAAGTTCAGGGAAGAAACTGCAAGAGAGGGTTTTACTACAGTTTGGAAATTCTCAGAAGGTTGAGGGACAGGGCCTTCAACAATCACTGGATGTCATGACTCAACAGAATGAGGCAAGCAAACCTGTGGAAGCTGGAACTGACTTCAGATTCTTTGCTGAAAAGACTACAAATTCTGTTGAAACTGTGCTGTAAAGTATGTATGGAGTGTGGCTTTATTATTTATATAAGGATTTTTTTCTGTAGTTTAGAGTGTTATTTGCTGACTAAGTAATGATTAGGCAATATTGCTTTGAGGTCTGTGTTTTGGGAAAAGTCTTAGAACTTGAAATCTTGTTGTGCACTTCCTTTAAGACATTTGCTGCAAATTCATATTTCTTGCTAGAAGTTATCTGTGTTATTTATTGGGATTACTGCAAAAACACAGATTATTTTCTGTGTCCAGGGAGGGACCATAGAGGCAATCTCTGTATAGACCTGAAGATATGAGCACAGTCCTCCATGAATGGAAAAGGATGATGCAGATATAGACAACAGGCTGGAGGACCTTGAAATATTACAAGAAATTAACATGGCGGGGTGGGGAGAGAGCGAGTGAGAGAGAGAGAAAGAGGAAGTACTAGCAGATTCAATGGCGTTAAAATTGGATAGCACTGTACACCCAGATGAGAGGTATTCCAGTCTTCTAAAGGAAGCAAGGAGGGAGTTATCAGGATCCCTTGTTGTAATTTTCAAGTCCTGTCTGGCCACAGGTGAGGTGCTAGAGGACTGAAGGATTGCTAATGCTGTCTATTTTTAGAAAAATGAGAGACAGGCAAATTACAGGCCAGTCAGTCTAACTTCACTGGTGGGCAGTTAGAGTTTTAGAGTTATAGAATTGTGCGGCACGGAAATACACCCTTCAGTCCAACTGATCCATGCTGACCAGATATTCTACATTAATCTAGTCTCATTTGCCAGCATTTGGCCCATATCCCTCTAAAGCCTTCCTATTCATATACTATCCAGATGCCTTTTAAATGTCTCAGGCAGCAGCTTGGAAAATCTTAAAAAAGCCAAAATTCTTCATGTGCTCTTTGGATAAAGGAGGTTGGTCCACAAAATTAGACCGAATAGCGTTAAATTGGTATAGCATCTTCAATTCCTGAATTACAGCAACAAAATCAGGAGACAGCTATCCTCTTAAATTTCAATCCACCAAGTAAGCTAAACCCAGAGTACCTGGTCCCAGGATATATTGGAGGAGTGATTTGTGATGACTCACATCCACTTAGAAACTTGAATTTTCACAATTTTTAGGAACGTCTATCCAAATTGATGACATTCAGTCAGCATGTCACACATGTGGAAAGTAAATATATGTTTTAAGGTGTCAAGTTGAATTCATAGCAAAGAAACAAGTTAATTTAGCCCAACTGCTTTATGTCAATATTCACGTCCAACATAAGACTGCTTCCATCTTTTTCCTAACCGTATTAGCATAATCTTCCATTAATTTCCTGAAAGGATAGTGAATGCAGATACAATAACCTTCAAAAATGGAATTGGATAAATACATGAAGGGAAAAAAATTACAAGGCTAATGGGAAAAAGGCAAGTGTGACTCATTAAATATCTACACGAAAGAGATAACATGTAGACTAGCCTCCATCTGCAACATCATTCAATTGTTGTGGAAGGGCAGATCATTCTTTAATGTGGGGGATAACATGAGATTTTAAAAAGTATAATTTTAACAAAGATTTGCAGCTGAAGTAATACAAATTTTGTAAAAGAACTCTAACTTGTTAAGAAATTATATCAGTCTTTAATGAGGTTTATAAACAATTGTACTGGCTCATGCTTTGAAAAAAAATCAAGAGTTAGCTCTTGATTTATGCAATAGTAGAGATAGTATTACTAGATTAGGCTCTTCCTTGGAAATATAAATTTAAACACATGACTAATCAGCAAGAATTTGTGAGGCAGACCAGTAATGGGTTCAATTCCTATCATGGTAGCTGTTGAAATTTAAATCCAACTCATTATTAAAAACCAGGAACTGAAAAATATTCTCAGTAATAGTGGCATGAAAGCATAATGCATTGCAGTAAAAGCCTATCTGGTTTACTAATGGGCTTTCCAGAAGGATATCCATTGCCTTTCCCTGCTCATCTACACATGACCTCAGTCATACAGCAATGCAACTGATTTTTAAATGGCCTCTGAAATTACCTAGCAAGCCATTTAGTTGCAGCAAATTGCGACAGAAAGGTCAATAAGGAATAAAACAGGACAAATATCTGGCATTGACTTAAGATACTGAAAACCTTGCAAAGACCTCCTCATTAACAGTTGGGCTTCTACAAAAAATTGAAAAAGCTTTCCCATAGAGGGATCAAAAAACAGCCTGACAGTTTGCTATCCATAGGATCATATGTAGCAGACAAAAACCAGATACCACCAGTGCTGTAGGCAGGACATACCCAGTAAAGATTTGGCACAATGTAGGAGCAAATTACTGCAGATGCTGGTATTTGTACTGAAAAAAGAAGCTGGAAATTACAGTGGGCCAGGCAGCATCCATGGAGAAAAAGCAAGCCAACACCCTGAGTTTAGATGACTCTTCATCAGAGCTTCCTGGAGGAAGCATTGAACATGTCAAGGGAACAGAACATACTATCTGCCAAACTAAGCCTGTAGTTTCAGATTAACTACATCACTTCCAAATTTAACGTAAAATTCGACATTATGCTCACTTTTCCCTAGAGGCACTTTTACAGCAAAATTATTAATTGGACCTCTCATCATATTATACTATATCTAAAATAATCCATTCTTTGGTCGGACTCTCATCTTGTACATATTCCTGTGTCTTTCCTTAATAGTATCAGTGCTAGTTAGGCTCATTCAGTCCACATACTGACAGAAATCCCCGTGATTGCAATGATACACACATTATATGTACCTCTAATCTCCTGATTTATACTTTGTCTTTTCTTACCACTACCATTTGGTGACCCACAAACAACTTCACCCAATGTTTACTGCCCCCTGCTGTTTCTTAGCTTTATCCAAATTGTTTCTCCATTTTCATTCTCTGTTGTGAGATCCTGTCTCACTAATTCACTGAACACATCAAATATTGACAGTGCAAGCTCGTTTACTTTTCCCTTTGGTCTAAACTCACTAAATGTCAAGTATCCTCAAACTTTCAGTTCCCAGTCATGATCACTGTGCAGCCTGATCTCCATAATGGCAATTGGATCACACCTATTTTCTTACGGTTGCATCATCAATTCATTAACCTCGTTGTGAATACTGTGTATTCAAACATAAAGTGCTTAAAATTCTGACTTTTCATTACGTTTGTAACAGCTAGCCTTATCTGCTGATACACTCTTAAGACTGAATGCTCTGTCCCTTTCCTGCCACTCAGATTAACAATTCTCTTTTTGTTATTTTGTTTTCTTGCTTTGTCCTCTCCCTTTAATCCATTACATCTTCCCCTCACTTGATCCCTTGCCCCCAACTATTTGGATTAAAATTTTCTTTACTGCCTAAATACAATGATGTGGAGGTGCCAGTGTTGGACTGGGGTGGGAAAGAACAGAGTGGAACAGAATATATTTGACCTTGGAAATAACACAGAAGAATCAGGGATAATCAGCACTTTCTTTTATATAGAAATGTCATGCTTGACAAATTTGATTTAACATTTTGTGGATGTAACCAGAAAATTGACAAGGTCTATCAAACTTTAACAAGTTAAACGTTAACATGAGATCCAAGGTAAAATGACATGGTGGATCCAAAATTGGCTGAGTCAGGAAGCAGACGGTTCTGATAGGGGAATGTTTTTCTGACTAGTAGTCTGATTCCAGTGGGTTCCCTCAGAGCTTGTTGCTGGGGCCCTTGCTGTTTGTGGTGTACGTTAATGATTTGGACTGAAACGTTGGGGGCATGTTCAAGAATTTCACAAATTACATGAAAAGTGATATGGTGCTAATTAGAAAGAATAGCCATAAACTGTAGGGGATATCAGCGGCCTGCTCAGATGGGCAAAGCAGAGGCAATTGGAATTCAGAGACAACAAGGTGCAGAGCTGGATGAACACAGCAGGCCAA